TGGTTGCAACAACCCATGTCTTCTCTTTCGTCAAATATCTTAATAAATTCAAGGTTGAAAAATAATTATCGAAATTCATTTTGTGATTTTCATTTGATGCAATTTCCTACCATCAATAACTCAGGTTGTTCTTCTTTATCAGCAGACTTTCCAGTATAAACTTTAAAGTCATAAACCAACCCACTTACTCCACACCTGGCCCAGACTTTGATTCCCCATTTGTTAGGCTTTTAGGGGCAATATTCCTTCAGGAATCCACTCCTTTTTGTAGACAGTATCTGCTCATCGATACACTGCTTTTCTTCTTGCAGGACATTTCTGCAATTTTCAAGGAGTTTCTGTATGAGAGGGCGAACCTTTAAAAGCTTGTTATGGTTCTCCTTATTTGCTGAAACATGCATTGTGTTGTCATTGAAATGCAGAAACTTTAGGAGTCTTTCAAATCTGTTTACATGATATCTGCAATTGATGATACTCTAGTTTTAATTGCCCAATACATTCTTACATGAGGCAGTTGAATGATAGACATCATCATGAGAATTCCAACCTACTGCTTAATTTCTTGCTTTGTTGTCTTGATTCAATCTCCAGTTTGCTGAACTGAATAAAGATTGGTCTGATCAGCAATGTGTTGGAACAGGAGATCATCAAAAAACATCTTGAAATAATCAATTGGGGCAATAACCTCACTAGGAGGTGCTTGGAATGGCTCACCAATAAATGTGATATCAGACTCTGGTTGGTTCCGCTTACGCCATCTGGTATTTATATTAACCCCATGTGTTGAAGGCTCCTCTTTATCATCCTCAGTCTTGTCACCTGCAGATTCCTCATCTGTCTCACTTTCACTTTCTTCCCATGACGAATCAGTTTCAAATTCCTTACCACCATTATCAATTTCCTCTTCATCAGAATCCGCATCAGGTAAAAATGGAGTTTTAATATGCATTCTTTCTTGCTGTCATGGCGTGCATCTCCGACCCATGCTGTCATGGCGTGCATCTCAGACTAGAACCGGATCACTTTGGTCTTTTAGTCCCTTAAGGAGACCAGCCTGATATTTTTTCCAGTGGATATTAATTGTTGGAAATAATTTTTCCTGGAAAAGAAACTTGTATGTTAACTATTGTTTGTCAATTCATAACTTTAGTGTACTGAAACTTTCATGAGAAACTGTTGTTATCAATCAAGAAATCAAGAAAATATTCTCTTAAATAACTCTTAAGCCTTTTTTGTTTGCACCTCTTCTCTGGCCTACATACATGCCCTCTTTGTAATTTTGTAAGATCCAATAAAGTTGTGAACGAGATTGTGCAAAGATTCATGTGATTGAAGATCTGTCTGACTTTTGAAATTGAGCCCCCAGCTATGCTGACATACAGAGTAGGAAGGTGCCAGCAGCTATGTTAGTTCCAGTCATTTTCAGTTGACTTCTCCAAAGATATTCTTTCAGACATGTTGGGTTAATACAGTGGCTCCTGACAGTCAGCATTGTTCCCCACTTAGTTGCTTTAATGCTAGGGTTGTCACTCTTGCAGAAATTACAGAACTTAAAGAGTTCCAAGATTTGCACAAAAAATGATATGAGTTTTGGTTCTGTCCAGAGGTTTCAATCTGTAGGTAAGAAACTGTATGTCGGAATAAAGTAAATTTCAAACATATGCATAACTATTTTGACTTAACAGTTTCAAAGATATGTTTTCTTTGCTAATTATCTGCATAAAAAGCTAATGATTTACCTCAACATATTGGGCTTCATCAGAGCAAAAGTAATGGGAAAGAAAGGTCTGCCACAACTAAACCAGATTTTGAATTGGTGGGTAGTTTACAATCATATTCAACATCCATTTACAATACTAGTGCATTTACATAGAAGCCTCTTCTGTGTCACTTTCTACATCGCTTTCTGTTTCTGAATGATGAGATGGTTCATAAATTGACATTTTTTCATCCTTGCAATCAAAATCATGTTTCTCCAATTCATCACATCATCACATCAGAACTATCAGCTTCATTGGGAAGTTCATGGGACATAATTGTTGAGGAATGTCTCTTTTTAGGTGACTTCTTTGTTTTCCTTATTTTACCTGAAATCAATGTTTAGCAACAATAAAAATGGGCGGATTCAAGTGATGATTCATCAAAAGTATTGAAGGCCTAATGAAACGAAATTTTAGAATTCCATTTATTCACTGGAAATAATACTTTTACACACCCTAAATGCGAAACTGAAATCCGTTTTTGAAAATTTTAATTAAATTTGCCACAATAGCCGGTTAAATTTGTGAAATTTTGCAATCCCGTTGCGAAATCTAATCTCCTCTTGTGACATGAAAATGATGAGTTTGTATATATGCCATCACGTGTGTCGGCCAAAACACAGTTAAATAAACCACCAAGGAGGGTAACAAGACTTCGAAAGCCATGTACGGTTGATTGTGTGTTGCTGGCTCAAAGAACAGAATGAGCTGTAAAAATACTCAGTTTACGGAAAATGTTTTGTTCATTACTTCCCTGATAAAAAGATGCATTTCAGCAACCATCAAAGGTGGGTGCGCTTTGTTCGAAAACATCGGCCTGGCTTCACTCCATTTAAATACTTGGTGCTGTGCTCCATTCATTTTGAGTATTCATGCTTCACCATGAGGAGGGAGGTTTGTGCTTTCCTAAAACCTAAAAATGATGCTTTCCCGACTATCGATGCGGCAAATGAAGCTGAGAGTACAACTGACAATCTGAGTGTGAACAAAAGCGGGTAAGTTTTGACACTTAGATCACCAACTTTACTTCCGCATACGGCCTAAAGAGACTTGGGCTTCTCAAAATTGCAAATCACAGTGATTTTAATTTGAAAAAAACTCTGCCTCGCCAGGTATTCCCAACCCCATTTTACAAAGCTTACGCAGATTGTTACTCTAATACAAAATTCCAGTAAATTTTCAGATTTTTAAGAGCTTGGCTGAAAAAGAAGAACCAGAAACAGTTGCCCCATTCACAGTACAGGACCAAGAAACCGAAGTGGACACAATGGATATGCAAAGAAAGAAGATCATTGCTTTGCAAAAAAGTTTTGAAACAATTGTGATTGGAACTGCAAAGTAATAAATCCTTTGAAAATATGTTACTGGTTGTCAGATATTGTAGTTACACTACCACACTTTTATTTTATCAGGACAAAGAAAGCAAACAAAGTTGCAGTAAAGATCAAAACCCTCAAACCACGCCCGTTTTTGTTGATTTGAACCAATCATTTGAAAGTGTGGAAATGGATGAATCGTTGTCAGATACTGATTGGAGCCACGAAAAGAAGAATAATGGGATTTATCATCAGACAACAACGACAATGAGGCTGGAAACAGTAATTATAGAAATTCAGTCGGGTAATATTTTTTAGATCCTACCTAGCATTAGATTGTGAAAGATTAACATGCTGTTGTAGAATTAGCAAGGGGAACAGTGCCTGTCAAGATCAGCTGCCAAATTTTATTATTGATAAAATAACATGACAGAAGAAGGTCACCATTTGATTTTTTTCAGGATAGAACCTGATGTCAAACCACATGATGAGCCCAAGTTTATTGTGTTTTACAGCATGTTGTTGTCAATATTTCAACAGTTTTGTTTCAACTGCAATCATGATGCACCAACTGTTGATGTAAGGAGGAATGGCACCATGTGTATCATTTCTCAAGACTGTGACTTCTGTGGTAAACACCTTAATTGGAAAATTCAGCCATATGTCCATGGACGTTACCCTGCTGGACACCTGATGACAAGTTTCAGCATTCTTCTGTCTGGTGTCGGTAACAGTCAAGCATTTCTCATGTTTAAAAACATGGGTTTATCAATGATAACTCCGCGAACCTATTTCCTGCACCAAAAAATTTTTTTCTTCCCAGCTGTCTTCGACCACTGGGGAAAATACCACTGATAGAACAAATTAGGCATTTAGAAAATGCACAGTGGTCAGGATTTGCTAGATTTGCTAACTTTTAATTCCAATTTACATTTTATGCTATTTAAACTATTTTAATCTCTAATTTTAAATCGTGTGGTATTTAACAACCAGATGAAGAGCCACCCTGTGGAGATACTGGTCATGATCCATTATTATTATTATTATTATTATTTTTTTATAGTCGTTGAGCGGTCGCATGCGAACGCTGCTGTACACGGCTCCGGTTTAACTTCGTTTATCAAGCCTGGATTCATTTGCTTCTATAAATTGTTTCAGTCAATCGATTAATAACGGTTAAAGGACTTTGGAAAGAAATGGTTCGATGTTATATTATCTCAATTCTCATTCTATTTACCATTTGTTCGTTTTGTGGAAGGGACTTTGTTACGTTAGGCAGACATCAATGGCGCTGTAAACGACAGATTCACAGTGAAGATACTGGACCTGACAGAGCAATTAACATTCCATTGATTGACACCAGATCAAATTCTGTTGTTTTGAACAGTCAACAATGTGTTAAGTGCTGCTGTGGCAAGTCCTGCAAAGGGATCAAAGGCCTCCGCATTCATCAGAAAAATTGTAAGGTTTTGAAAGTGCTTGGCGAAAAGTAACTGCATGAAATTGTGACTGATGATGATCTGGATATCAATGACAACCCTGATGTGCCTCTTGAGGAATATTTTGAAGTAAAGCCAGGAATTCGCCTACCTAATTCTGACAATGAATGGTTACTCGCCAACTCTTATTTTCAATCTGCACTTGTAGATGTGTCCCTGAGTGAGTCATCAGTTGACAACGTTACCAGGTTAATGATGGATTCGATTTATGATTATTTTAGGGACACATGTGGTGTGATTGAAAACTGCAACAAAGACCTGTCTACAAAATACAAGGACCAATCAATTAAAAGCTTGAAAAAACAATTAAAGGCTCTTAAATATTCTAAAGCCCCCATTCTTGAAAGTAAATACGTATCTGGACTTATTCGAAAGAAGCTCAAGACAAACATTCTACAAACAAATACTTCTGACACAATTGATCATGATAAACACATCGCTAAAAATTTCTGGAGTTACGTCAAACGCTTTTTTCAAAGTAAGTCATCACTTCTACCATCATTTTCTGCTACACGGTGCACCGAGTACTTTAGTAATACTTTTTCTGCCCTTTATCCAAATAAACAATTCACTATTCCTTCTTGGATACCTTCTTTCGATGAACCATCCTATCCATTTGACACACAACCTCCATCATATCAAGTGATAACTTCTATTATACGTCACATGAAATCCTCCACTTCTCCCTGTCCCCTTGATAAGATATCCATTATTTGTTTCAAACCTTGCCCTTACCTACGATCTTTCCTCAGCAAAATTATTCATAGCATTTGGGTATCTGGCAGTCTTCCATCCGAATGGAAAAAGGCATCAACGATATTGATCCACAAAAAAGACAATACAGATGATCCTTCTAACTTCAGACCAATAACCTTAGAATCTGTTCCCTTGAAAATCTTCACCTCCTGCCTACGTAACTCTGTTTTCAACTTTCTGAAACAAAATGGTTTCATTGAAAGCCAAATTCAAAAAGGCTTCACTCCCAAGATATCAGGTACTTTAGAACACACGGCACTTATGCTCGCACAAAACAGCGCTCTTTAGTTGTTACCCTGCTTGACCTCAAAAATGCTTTCGGCCAGGTCCACCATAATTTGATTCCCACTATTCTTTCGTACCATCATATACCATCTCATATTCAGGCTCTGGTCTCCAGCTTATATTCGGGCTTCAAGACCTCTATCCTCACAGATACATTCCAAACCCCTGCCATTCCCGTTTGTCGTGGTGTTCTTCAAGGTGACTACCTCAGCCCTCTTATCTTCAATCTATGCTTCAATACATAAAAGCAGAAAAATATAAACAGCTTGGCTTCTCTCCCCACGACGAAAACGACCGCATGTTCCAACCAGTGCATTGGTTCCAATTTGCTGACGATGCTGCAGTTGTTACTAGTGGTGAAAAGGAGAACCAGCTCCTGTTAAACTGCTTTACAAGATGGTGTCAGTGGGCAAACTTTGTAATAAGGGTGGATTAATGTGTCACCTTTGGCATTAAGAAATACTCAACAAGATCTCTTCAGTTCCAGCCAAAGCTTTTCGAGAACAACCAAAGCGTGCCTGTTGTTAAAAATGGAGAATCTTTCAAATACCTCGACCGCTTCTTTGACTTCGAAATGACCAATGGCAGTCATAAAGAAAAACTGCTATCAATGTTTCCCAGCCTTCTGAAAGAAATTGATGACTTGCCTCTGCATCCCAAAAATAAACTTCTATTGTACCACAGATATTTATTGTCCAAAGTTTCTTGGCACTTCACTGTTGCAGACCTATCGAAGACCTGGGTCATTGAGAACCTCGATAATCTTGTCTCTAAATACATTCGCCAGTGGCTTGATCTTCTCATAAGTGCTACTTTAACTAGTATAGTTCTTTCCAAAAATCAATTTGGTCTCGATCTTCAGCTACCTTCTGTCAAATTCACTCAATGCCAAACTGTTTCACGCAATGCCCTCCGAACTTCTCCTAACACAAACATTCAAGCTTTATGGAAAAACACCAGTAGTGGGATGAATCTGCAATACAACATTTACCGTAACACCAAAGATGTACTGAAAGTAGTAAAATCAGACAGTAGAGAGCGCTTGGCACACCAATTACTATCCCAGGGTGCTATTATTTCATTTCTGTTGGACCACTCTCTTAAAAAGCTCAGTGGTGTTTGGTCTGTTGTGCAGAGCAACCTACCCACGAACATCTTCAACTTCACCATCAAATACCTGAACAATACTCTCCCTACGGGCTAAAATCTAAGCCTTTGGAACCTAAGCCAATCATCTGATTGCGAATTCTGCCTTCTTCCTGAAACTCTACTCCATGTCGTTGCAGGTTGCAAAGTTTATCTCGAACAAGGTCGTTATACCTGGTGTCATAATTCTGCTCTAAATTTTCTTGCAACCTCCTTGAAAGCAATAGAGGGATCCTCTCTTTTTGCCGATATACCTGGCTTCTCCTCACCTTTCATCATAACTGGAGACAATCTGCGCCCACATCTACTTCTGCGTACAAAGGAAAACATTCTTTATGTTTTGGAACTAATGATAGGATTCGAAACTAACCTTAACTGCAATGCAGAAAGGAAACGTTTAAAATATGCTCGCCTTGTCTCAGATCTAAGACCAAGGTTCAAATCTGTCATATTTGTAAATCTCTCCATCAGCTCTCTTGGCATCTTCAGCGACTCATGGAGCTCATTCCTTGAAATGTGTGACTCTCTTTCCATCGATGATCAACACAAACGATATCTCATTTCTAAGCTTTCTACGATATCCATTCGTACCACCTATTACATTTTTTGCTGTAGGAACAAAAACAATGGACTAACCCAGAGCTACTCCCCTTTTAACGTTTTTTTTCTTTTCTCTTTACTACGATTGTAATAGTCTTATTTTGTAAAATCAGGCTAGCCAGTTACAAATTACCTTGTAATAGTGAGATTTGTAATTGTAGTTTTAACTGGAATTCAAAATGAAAAGTTTCCATTATTAGATTTGACTCCATGGGACACAACTCAAAGTATGGAGCTTACTCCATGTTTTGTAACACAATTTCAAAACTGGTGCACTTTGAATTGCTACAGGTAGAAGTCTATTTTGTTTAAATGTATACATTATTTAATTGTTTTTTCTACAGTCTTTGTATAAGAAATCATTTGAGTATCCAAATTTGCATATTTAGATTTGCATTGCTTAGAAAACTTTTCAGTGAGATTATGACTTCACTTTGGAATACCATGAAAAAGACACACTGACAGTCATATTATGTATTTTCAGAATTATTTTCAGTTTTAAAAAAATTATTATGAAAAAATTATTTTTTTGTCTTTTACTAGTTATTTGATGAAATTTCTAAAAAAATGTCATATGTAAACATTGTCTAATATTTTCAGAGCAATCAGTGCGGAAGCAGCAATGGAATAGAACTCACAGCCACTTTGAACATTTGAACAACAGAGGACTTCAAATATCACAATTTGTCAGTGGCAGGCATAGGGGCATTGCAAAATGGATCAGAGAGTCGTGTCCAAACACAATGCATTTCAATGATTTGTGGCATATTTTGAAAAGTTTAGAAAACAATTATTGAAAGCTGGCTAGGAAGAAGGAAATTAAAAGATTCATTGTTGGATGACTGGTATAAGGAACCATTTGTACTGGAGTGTTCACTCAACAAAACAGGGTCATAGCCAGCTGATATTATCCAAGTGGAAATCCATGATGCGGCACAATGGCCATTCAAATCACCCTGATGCAATGTTTAGTGAATGTGCTCACAGTGAAATTGAGCCCTGTGACTGGATAAAAATATGTAAGACATCAGTCCTTGTTAGTATACATGTAAAAGTTAAAGTTGCTTTTCTGGACTTAACTGTTCCAAAACTTCTGAGTTTCAATAACTTATAAGCAAATAAATGAAGGAATGTTTAATGAGAATGCAGTTACTTTTTTATACTTGAAAATATGAATCTGAAAAAAATATAAAATGAAATTACACTCAACATCTTCACTGAAGGTTTGATAGGTTTGTCAATTCTGAAACATATTACCAATTTGTGTCTTAAACCAAAATTTCAACCTCATTATAGGGAGCAAAGCATATGACAGGCTTCAAACCATTTTGATGAACCAAAGTATATTGAAAGATATTCAGATCGCCTCATCTGATTTACAGACCAGTTGCTTGGAAGGCTTTCATTCTATCCTTAACCACTGGCACCAGAAAATGACTCACTTCTCATGGCTTGGAACAATGTGCAGGTAATATTTATGATAATACAATTTATGCTAATGCTTGGCAAAATATGCAGGTAATTAGATGGAGAAATAACACATTATAAATGCTGATATTAATTTCATTTTCATTTCAGGCATATAATAGTTACACTCCATTTTAATGAAAATCTCAAACGCGAAAAGCAAATGAATCCATTATGAGAGAATCCATTATGTCAATGTAATTTAGCCAAAATACAAATTAGGAGAAGAAGTTGTACGAGAAATTGCTGTTCCACCGACATATGGTAATGACCTTTTAAAGTTTTTCAAAACAAATTTTCAAAAATTTCAGAACCCTAGTTTGAATTATTTTATTGTATTTTGTTTTTATGTTACTGAACCTTCAATTTATTTTCTTGAAATTGCCATGTTAGTTGCCAGAATGAGGCCCCTTGATATTCACCCACTATCAAATAAACATTGAGGTAAACAAATTTTATTGCAGATTATGTTGAAGACATAAAAACTGTAATTTTCAACACCAATTTGAAGGCACTGAAGAAAATTCCGAATAGCTACACTGAGCTTCAGCCTCCACAACTGAATGCATCATTTGAAAAAGTCCCCAGAAGTGAAGCCATTGCAAAGTACCTGGAGAGAAAAGGAACAGTGACTGAGCTTTACCCAGATAGTGAGTAACTTAAAGGTTTTATTCTATGTTTAATTGCCCCTTTTTATATCAGCCTTTTATCTTTAGTTAAATCGTGAATGTATTGCGAGCACTTGATGATGAAATTGACATAAATAGATTACTAAGGTATAGCAGCTTCCACTGTCCCACAGTGAAGGAACTCTAGATTTGGCAGGTTCCACTTGTCTAATGGTTGTTATTTCAGTTTTAGAGCAAGAACAACAGGAGGAAAATCAAGCCAATGATGATGATGCAGAGGCTAGTGTTCAGAAGAAAGTAAGGTCATGCCAAAAATGCAGAAAACCTATGAAAGGCCACAAAGTTGGTAAATTAGATGTCTGAACTGTAAAAATAAAAGTTCTCATAACAAGTATTTTTGTAATTTTTATGCAAATTGAACAACTAATAAAATTTGTAATGTCGGTGGCTGGTAGGTAAGAGAGCCAAATACTAAATAATACTTGTTTCGGTTTTTTAGTGCCTCTCTTCTGTAGAAGAATACCTAGTTGACTGCAAGCTTGGAAATTTTGTCCTGATGTTGTGATAAACACAAACAGGTAATGGTCTTGCATTATTCCAACGAAAAACCCAAACATGTATCTCAAAATCCAACAGGAGGCAACAGATCTCACATACATCTGGATCACCATCCTCTCTATACCACTGTTTGTGGAAAGGCTCATCGTCGGCAGCTGTTTGGAAGAACTGAAGCTAACAAATACCATCCTAGTGTGAATGTGAACTTTTGTGAAGGACGGACAAGTTAGAATTGTGAAATTACAGAGGAACAAAATAATTGAGCACTGTTTAGATGAAATAGAATATGGACTCTAAAGGAGACATACTACACCCAAGTGATCAGAGACACAAACTGGTGAAAAATATCACTCCAATTGCTTCAAGACTTTTATTTGAATGAGCTGTTTCCAACATTTTATACTAAAGATAATGAAAAAATATTAATTACTTGATGCTTTCTGCCGTTGTTTCTATTATTTCTTATCTATAAAATGACTTAAATTCACTACATGTTTATTTTATTCTTTATTAAAAACAATAACAAACTTTTACAAGAAAAAAATAAGAGTATTAACTGACATAAACCTTTAACTGTAATAAGTTACATACTACTGTATTAACCTACACATAAGGTGCACTTTTCCCTCATCAGCCTGTTTTACATTCTGTATCATTATACTGTAACAATTTAAGTCATTATGTATGAAATGAGACAGTATTTCATATTCAATTATCAGGCAACGTTTCTGGACCACTGACTCAGATACCCAAAAACTTTTCATTATCAAATATTTTCATAGCACAAAGGCCAGTTATTGCCCCCCAACTTGGATTTAATTTTGGATTTGGGCTGTCTACATGCTTTTCCTTAGGATGCATAAAATTATAAATTCAGCTAAAGAATGGAACAGCTTTTGTGTAGATTTTTACAGTATATGCTGTATAGTATTGTTTATATCATCATTCTTCAAAATCAAACACAATAACTGAAGCAGAATAGTTGTCAAATAATCCAGAAATAATCTGATCAGTCAGTCATCTTTTAGTTTCTTCTTCGCCCAATTGCTGGTTCAACATGTATTCTGCAACCAGCCAGTTTTCTTGAAAATGTTGCCTCTTCCTTGGTAATTTGAGATTTGCCAGCAAGAAAGGCAGGCAAATTCAAAAATACATTTTTGGCAAGATGTCATGAGCTAAGAATCCCTTGTCTGCTAAAATTAAATTCCCCAGCCTGTAGAAAAAAAATGAATTTTATATACATACATAATAAACAATTATGATATAAACAATATTCAGAAGATAATTTTTGTGTTGTTCTCACAAAGATGGCAACAAATTTTCCTTTTAAAAGGAAGTTAAGCTCTAATTCAAGGTGGGCAAATTTACTCTGACAGAATAAGGACTGTAATTGTTGGAACACTGGAACAAATTATTTGCAAATGTTGAACCTTTGAAAAAAATCAATGGTGTTGAGGGGAAAAAGAAGTTCTAAACATGACATACACAGTTTGCAGATATATTTATAATTTGGCATCATATTTTTAGTATCCTGTTTTAAGTTTGGAGAGGTTCTACTATACTGTAAGTTTAGTTGTATAAAACACACCTGTAAATGATGCAATATGCCACCGTCCTTTGTCACAGCCTTGTCACTGGCACTTCCTGGAAAACCATTGCTTACAAATGCTACTGTACCGTTTGGAGCAACAGCAATAAAAATTTGCCTGTCAAAAAATGTTTGTAGTTGGTATAAGAAGAGGCTGCAGCTGCAAGGTCTTTTCATGGCACACTAATTCTAAATTCTGTGCAGTCATTTATTATTCTACAGTCTGAGAAGTCACCAAAGGAATCTGGTAGACTGCATTTATCATTTTCAATGCTTGGCAATGACGTTATCATACCTTTGAAGAGAGTTTTATGAGTGGAATGTAAATATGTCATGAAAATGTTTTGTACGCTGGTCTGGCTGATCATTAATCTTCGAGCTTAATCGAAGTATAGGTCTCTGGCTCCTCGAGTCGGACACCATATTCTTCAGTTTGCACAATATCAGATAAGAGCAAATTACTCTGCGAATCAGCTTCAGGCACTGCCGTAGATGCAGTAGGCGATTTTGTGGGCATTGCTGCCTACATAGAGGCCAATGCCTTCCTTTTTGACACACGCTCGTCAGCTGAATTCCGACGAAGATTTAATTTAGGAAATGCACCCTTCTTCAGTTGTTTTCTCCTAAACTTTTCAGGAGCATCACTTTTTGATTCTGTGAACTGGTCCAACGAGAAATATTTGCTACACACATAAGAGCTTGAAGATGGTGTGAATCCCTCTCTTCTCACTCTAGCAATCCAAGATTTTTTTGTGTTGCAATCGGCCAGGAACTGGAAAAAAGATTCATCCCAGGAGGTTGATGAGGCGCTACAACCAAACACTGAATAGAACTTTGGCATCTTTCGTAACAGGTGGGCCTAACTCGATATCATTAAACTGGTATGCAAAGAGCAAGATAAGCACTGGGTTCTAGATCTTTACAAGGAGTCTGTGAAGAAAAAAATCCAGGATCAAATTGGCATAACAATTGAAAATCATGCCAGGAAACAAGTGCAAATGCACAAGGTTGCTAGATGCATCACAATGAAATTCAAAAACACAGCTTCCTAGTTTTCCTTTGGGAAAACTTTCAATTACAACAAAGTTTACTATACAAACTTCAATGGTGAGCCAGCAACAGTTGAAGAATTCATTCCAAGAGTTTTTGTTAAATACATAAACAACAATGGTTTCTGTGCTGTACCTTCCTTTGCTTCTACTGAGCAGGATAAAGAAACATACAATAAAGCACAAACATTGGTGCTCTACAGCTATGAAGCTATAGATCAGAAGATAATGTTGCTGGATTTACAGGGATCTTCATTTCAAGTATGTGATCCTGAAATTGCAACTTCTGCTTTAACAATGAAGGATGATACTGCTGAAAATGCAAAAGATGAAATGTTGTTTTGTTGCAGAAATTTCTCAATTGGTGCGATAAGCAACTTTATTGCAGAACACCAGCGCAATAAATACTGCAAGATCCTGGGTTTGAAAGGTTTATTAGATACTTTGTAAGAGAATTCTTACTTTTTAAGAACATTTTGTTTTATCAACTATATGATAAAGACTTGGGCAAACCTAATAGTGTAACATCTTATCAGTTTTTCTAATTTTTACTATCCCAGAGGGTATTTTGTTCGCAGTTTTATTAACATTACGATATTTGCATGAATTTTTGTTAAGGTTATTGCTTCCCACTGTTGGCCTTAGTGTACTAACTGTGTACTCTTTACGGGATACCAGAACTTGATGTTTTTGGCACAAAATTGGCTTTATGAAATAGGTAAGTTTCTTTTGCATCAGAAGGCTTCACTTTGTCAACATCAGGAATAATCAATTCACAGTCAACTCTGGTTGCAGGATCCAGATAATCATTGCCAAAAGCCATAACACCTGATCTAACTGTTCAGCAGACACAGGCAAGCCTGGAATGTAAATGGAATGTAAAATGCTGTTTTTTAACAAAACAGATACCAAGTTGATCGTTTTTTAACTTGACCTGGGCAAACCTCACTACTTCTCTGCTAAAATTGTTAAATGGCATCAGGTCATCTTCAGGGCTCTAACCAATTTAATAAATGAAAATCTACTCAAAGCAATATGCAGATAATGGTACAGAACATTTTAATATTTGGGTTATTCGTTTGAAAGCAAAATATTTAACATTGGTTAATATGTTAACATACCACACTCCTTAGCACCATATTTTTCAGGAAAAGAATAAAGATGTTCTGGTATTCCCTTTGTTAGCTGGGCATCTTTTTGTTGCCTCACTCATTGAGTGTTCCATGAACAATGGAAATTCTGTAGCTCTTTCGAAATGACTGGAACATACACATAAGCCAACAAGTCCCTATGAAAACAGAAAGCCACAAGATACAAAATTGAATTCGGCTTTTATTTAGTTGCTTGTTTCACTTACTAAACGTTAGTATTACCATGTTGATAACGTTAGTCTCACAAAAAACAATGACAAATTAAACAAGAACAACAACAACATTCTGCATAGAAACGTAATTAAATATGAATTGATTTAAAATCTATAAAAGGCAATAGCCTTTCCAAACTTATTCAGTTGATCTGATGGTTGCCAGATAAATGTGGAAACTAGTTAGCACTGATCAGAAAGCGCAAAAAAGTAAATTCAATGTGTGTTTTTCTAAAGAGTGTCTGTCCTTTTCTACTTGTGCAATTGTGTAAAATTTGGTCTGGATACAGACATTGAAAGGTCTACTCTGAAGAACAGGATGCGCAAATGAAACAAAACATTTTGCAAACCAACAACGACAAGCAGGAATTAGCAACCTGAACTTCTGTGTCTGCAGAACCAGATCCAGAACAGATTCAGATACAGATTCCTGTTTGTGAGTAGGTCGAAGATAAGAAAAACAGCCCAATCCTCTTAAATATAACTTGCAACAGAATCTAATTCCTATTACAGATACCACCATACTAGTAACTACTATTTAAAACAAAAATCAGTCGAATATCTTTTCTCGTTTTTCTGGAAAAGCGGGGTTTATACTGACAATTACCATCTCTACAAGAGGAAAATATTGATTGAAGCCCCCCCCCCCCCCCAACTCAAATATAACTGGCAACAGAATTTAATTCCTATTATAGATATCACCATACTAGTAGCTACTATTTACAAGAAAAATCAGTAGAATATCTTTTCTTTTTTCTGGAAAAAAAGGGTTTATATCGAACGTTAGCTGCTCTGCATAAAGGGGAAGAATTTATCGATGCTCACCCTTGTCTCAAATGTAATTGGCAAAATAATGTGATTTAGAATTACGGCTTTCAAAGGTCCATTTGAAATGTTGGTTTTTTACATATTTCTTCAACTGTTGAAGGACTTTTTTGGCCTGCAATCAAAATCTACTGTGATGTTATTCAGTATATCAATGGTTGCAAAAATACTTTTTGGCAAAAGCTGGGGCACTTTTTGACTTTGAATAAAAAGGCTTTAGTTGAAAAAGCTTTAGTTGAAAAGTAAGAAAATGCTATAGAATTTACATCATTATGAGTAGCTACCACAATGCATTCTTGAACCCTTTGTTCTGCCACCAGAAGTGATTTATTTTCTGGCCTCTCTCTTGTTGGTTGAACGATAGTGGCAACATTTATTGCAGATAAATTATTATTGCTGTTAAATATATATTTGATTTCAACTTTCATTTTTCAATCCAATTTGTGAACATTTTGAAAGGTCCTAAAGAATTTATTAAACAGAACAAGCATAAATCTCAAGTTATCAGTTCTCTTGTGAGATCCTTTTTGTGAAAATAATTGTCAGCCAAAAGGCATCAATCAGGAAAATTTTGTTCTGAAGCTTTCTTGATAAACTGAAGATGATTGCTCATCATGTTATTTATTATTAACAATCACCATTTGATGTTATACCCTTCTCCATTACTAACTGATACATGTATAGTCCAGGCATGTCACTCTACCTGATGCATTTCATCACAATTTCCCTTACTTTTGTCATGGCTTTTTCAACAGGCTCTCTTCCTTGTACTTTTATGCTTTGACTGTCATCTGTGTATTGTCCAAAGGAATGGCTAGATTAATCACATCCAAAATTTCATGTTCAAGCATCGAAAACAATTGAAAACAAATCTACAAATGTAGAACATTTCTTCAAGTATTCACATTCTTCGAGTAAAATTCTTGTGTCAACAAATACGCAGTTCACTTGACGATGGTCACGTTCAATTACTTCTTCAACAACTAAAAAAGTTGCTATAAAAAGCATAATATTGGAAAACGAATCGTTGAGATCAACAACAAACATTTTTGCCCCTGCTTTTTTCCATTTGAGGTGATTTCACCCAATTGACATATGCTGATTCCGAAAATAATATTCATTTTGCCCCATAAATTCAAGATTTTCTCCTTTTTTAATTTAATTTTTTGCCCTAAATTTATAAAAGTGGTCGATTTTGAGCAAAAACTGGAATTAGATACAAATTTTGATAGATACAAAGTACCTCAAAATAGACGAACGCAAATATCTTAGACTTTTCAACGCATGAGAAATATATAAACAAACAAAACAGCAATATCATCATTTGGTCAAGTAAAAGCAACAGTTCTTGAAGATGTCAGACTTAAAGTTTCTCAAGACTCAGACCAGGAAATGATTGGCAAATGTATCTGAAGCACTCTCCATCTTTGTCCAGAGCTCTCACTAACTGCTCGATCAGTGCCAACTTTATATGTAGAGGGGGAGTACTATCCTGTCTCTGGGTACAAGGGGTTTGTTTGCTATATTTTTGTCTCCAGCTCTGAGTTTTTCTCAAGGTTTCCAATCCTTTTTTACCCAATGGTTGACTCTATTGCGACTGTCCCACATACACAAGAAGCACCGATGTTTCGTATAGGCAGATTGCTATCCAAGCAGGAAATACCTGCTATCCAAGCAGGAAATTCACCATTTCAGGTCGACACAGATTTTCCAATTATGATTGTAGAATTTAATGCACTCAAAAACCTGTTCAATTGGTTCATACTTCTCCTTCAGTGTTGTCGAACGACCTATCAGAGTTGAAGTATATCTCCACTTCAACTTTAATCTCTTCTCTCTCGCTCACTAATCACAACAACAATAACTCTTGTTCCACTCTCTCATTACTCATATCCTCACACTCCCCCAGCCTAAAATGTGCATAACCCCCAACAAAAAGGATAATAAAATAATATCTCACAAAAAATGATACCTGATAAACCAAAACTTTATAAACAGTAACTGTGAGCAAAAATTTTGTGTGTCCATTTTAAACCAAGTCCATAATTTGTCCCTTTTTTGTTTTTTAAGTGAACTTTTAAATGTTCTTCAAACCAAGTGTGAAACGTCAGCAAGCACACCTGTTTCTAGATACAGAGTTTAATTCCTCCCCTCCCTCCTAAAACCTTGTAACCAGAGTTCCATATCTTCTTTCACAAATCAAATTATAAGGCCAGTTTACTTCTATTGGAATGTCTCTTTCTCTGTCGTGATCCACCATTAGGAATGGTGGATCAAACATCACTTCATCACTGTCAGATTCATGGCTGTAAAGATCTGCATTGTCTTCCTCAACTTGTCCTAGGTTGTTAACTACCTTAAAGAGCTTGAGAGGTACAATCTTACGTTTTTTATTAACTAGAGAATCGATTTGATAATCTCTGTCTCAAACCGTTATAATAATGTGAGATCCAAGGAACTTTTCTTGTAGACCGCTGGCTCTAAAGTTCTTGAGGAGAACTGTTTCTCCAATGGTCAATGGTTTACTCTTTTTTCAGCGATGTCTTGAGTCATAAGCTTGTTTCTGTTGTTCTTTCACTAACAATTTCCCGTAGATGACCTTGTTATTTTTTTTAAATCTTTGCTGGACCATGAGTTGGTTTAATCCAATGAGGTAGAAATAAAAGCTACAGGGCCAACTAGCCTCTGTTCCGAAACAAACATTTCAAGCCGCTACTGCGCAGCCAGCGCCATATTGATTGCACGGCAAAACAAAGTTCTGATGTTGCTGGACTGGTTTGTTTCTTGGCTTAAATATATCTTACTAAACAATGTTGGGAACCGATAAAACTAGTACAGTATCGTAAATATCAGATCAGATGAGAAGGTTTAGTCGGTAACAAATTGTGTTTTACAATAAACAATGGTATTAGAAGCAAGTTAAGACGGCCTAGCTCTGTGATGGTTTTAAAGGGCAAGGCAAAGAAACAAGAAGTGGACAACAAAGAGGTAAGCGCAAACAATACTCCTCTACATTACTTAGTTAGATACTCTTGAATACAATAAGCTTATTCATTTGATGTCTGATACTCGGATTGTTTTTTTTGAAGAACTTGTCTCATGTATGCTTTTTGACGTTTGGAGTCTTTAAAGTAGATATCTCTCACAAAGCTTCTTGATTATCTGTGTGAGATGGTCATCCATTAACACAGGCTCATCATCAAATCGGTGATTTGGCATGTCTGGAAAAAAATTTCTAATATTTTTTCCATGTATAAGCAAAACATCATTTGTCATGTTTCGGATGAGATGTTGTTCAGAGCTAATCTTCATTCCTTTCTCACTTTCGACTCTCAGTCTGAAAATCTTCTCGGCATATCTCAAAACCTGGAGAACACCATAAGAAGTGACAATTAGCCCACCATTATTTCTTCTCTCAAGAAATCTGGCATAAGGGGAACAGACATAAGCATGGTCCTTCTCAGCATATCCTAAAACAAATGCTTCTGCACAAGTGGCACATCCAATATTCTTTGTCATTCTTCTATCGATTTGCCACTCTACTCTACTACATGTGTTCGATTCGTGAAACCTGTCAAATAGCGCAAGCCTTATGTTGCTGCCGGTAACTGGGAGGTTGTTCTGCTCTTCTTGGGTATTAGTTTCAAGCCAAGGAAATAAAATCGAAAATTTTCCTTGATTTGCGCTTTCTACATTGTTTTGCGTGGCTTCTGGGACTCGACCTTCATGGGGACTAAAAAATCCTTCTTCACACCTGTTTCCTTGCATAGCAACTAGATGTGCCATTTCATTTATAAAGACATCTGGCAATTGTTTGAGACTCCTTAGTATATCTATGTAGTCTCGTATATAATTTATCTCATATAACCGCGTATATAATACCATGCTGACAAGCGATAGTAAGCCAACCGCTAGAACGACCAAAGGGTTTTGTTAGTTTTTTGTTGAAACGGTTAGCGTCTTCACCTAGTGATGCCTTGATTCAACCTATGATGTCCAATTTAGATCCCTTCGCGCTTACATTTACCTGTCGCGCTAATTTTTTAATACCTATAGTTTTGCTTTTGTAAAGCTCCTCTACAAGGCGCTTGGTGGAAATGTCATGGCAATCAACTTCCGGGTCTTCGTATCCCTATGTATCTTTCTATGTTCAGAATTCACCACAAAGTTTGTGGCACGGGAATGCTTCCCTATGTAAGCCCTTGCTTTGAATAATTATGGTTAAGTTGTTTATATTTTTGTTCACTGTTTTCTCAAGGCAGTATAAAATATAATTAAAATGCTTGCGACTGTGACCAATGCTGCCAACATTAACTCCACACTGTGCCAGAAATGAAACAAGAGTTTCCAAGTGTCTTCCTGCAGCTCCAAGTTGCAGATCAATTGTAGCACATCTAAATATATTAGTTATTGCCGTTGATTTCTTTGCTTCAATTTCCGATATCTTTTTGTTGTTATCTATCGCCTTTTTATGCACCGCAGAGTCGATGCCAATCAAGCACAAATGATCAAAACAGGAGTTTTTTTGGTGATACCAAGTGGAGCTATGACCTTGCAAAATGCGAGTGTACCAGTTGAACTTGAAGAAAGCAACTGTTGTGCCTTTAAAGGTGTCAAATTTTGAAGTGTAGGCTTTGCGGCAATGTGCAGTTGATAGCAGGGTAAACATCTGAGAACTCCAGTTTCAGAGTTCTCATCATAAAACCATTCAACCAACTTTGTTGCTTCTGTGAATTCTACGATATTTTCCAGCTGTCTTATTTTTTATAATGGCCTTGGATGTTTCACTATCTTTACATGCTAGTTGGGTCATCCTTTTATGTTTGCTGCCAATCTCATCAACTTTGAGTGTCAGATTTGCAATAGCACTCATTACTGTTTGCAAAGTTGCTCCCATATGGTCAGTGGAGTTTTCCTTAAACTGAATTAAGGTTGATGGAGCAGATTTAGGGCCCAAATATTCATCATATGGATCAAGTGGTTCAAGAGGCTCGAGTGTATTGTTTTCATTTGAAACCTCAGTATTCATTGACGATTCATTGGGCTGGTCTGTTTCTTCTTTGGTCTCCAAGACCATCTCCGCTCTGATATTTATCATTTCCAACATTGTCTTTTGACTCGCAGGCACATCAACGTCCCTCTCAGACTGGTTTTTTATTTTTGATACTTCTCACGCATTGCAAGTATTTCAGCTGTGTCTGATGGAACAAATGTGCATTTTTCACTTTTTGGGGGCAATGCCATCTGGATTTCTGCAAATGAATGTGCACCTTTGCTATATTTTCCCTTCAAGTGCAAGGTCAAGACACTGAATGCAGTTATATTTGTTCTGTTGTGATTTCTTTGGTTCTTCCCTTTTCAGCTTTTTATGGGGCTTGACAGAGCTGTTTTTTCCAGTCCCAGATACGCTTTTGCCTGGCGAGTGGTTTCTCCTTTTCCTTGTCACTGCTTTCCTTGCTACAAAGTTCTCTACGGTTGAATTCTTGGAATAATAACACAATGATACGTGATATTTACCATTGCACTTCTTACACATAATCTTTGATCTACAATCTACAGCCTTATGCCCTTTCCTAATGCAAACAAAACAACGACCATACTTTCTGATAAAGTTCTTACGTGTGTCCAAGTTTGTAATTTTGGGACAACGTTCTTCGTTGTGGTTTTCTTGGCAAAAGGCACATCGTTTCTGGCTGTCCCCTCTCCAAGTGTGCAATGCCGTTGCTGTACCATCGATTACCCTTTCTACCATTCTCTGTGGGGCGTAGCCTCTACGTTTTGTGCCCCCTGTCCCAAAAATCGGTGCTTGTATTTCCCTGACTGCAATTTCTTTGTTCAAACTTTCCAAAAAATCTCTCACAGACCACTCCAAATGATCTTTGCTTGACGCTCTCACCATGTTCAAACAAACGGCCTGGGGGATCTTTTCCAGCAAAACTGGCACAACAATGCTTTCATACTCCCTTAGTTGACATGCACAGCTTCCAACCTGTGAAAGTGTGTTTCAACGCTGTCGTGCAGAGATCGCATCCTGTCAACCCGCCTTTCGTCATACACAGTGTTGATTTTGTGCATCTCGTTGATATGGCCTCTTTTGATCACTGTCGGTTTCGCAAAGCATTGATGCAACAGCTCCACCGCGGCTCTGTAGTTTGACGCTGTCATTTTGAATCCCGAAATTACCGACTTCGCTGGCTCCAACAATGACTTCTTCAAATATTGAAACTTCACCGCGTCCGGAAGGTCCTCATCATAATCCACTGTACTGCTAAACGCATCCCAAAATCCAGGCCAATCTTGTGGCGTTCTGCCAAAAGTTTGCAGCTCCAGTTTGGGTAGCTTTGCTTTTGCCCCTCATAGTCGAACTGCTCCCAGAGAATGAAGTCAGTAGACAACGAGTTCACTGGGCATTTTTTGCATGATAATTGGGATTAAAAGGCTACCATAACTTTCTTGCAGCATTCTTGCTGCTTTTGAGTTAACTTGACGTAGTATTCCTAAAATCTTAGGTTGAACTTTTCCTATCTCCTGGAGGGGGGGGGGGGGGTTGGGGCTAGCCACATTCTATCCAACTTCCAACAAGACGAAATTTTATTATTACATTTTATTATTAAATTAGAATTATTACGAAGTCCACTCGAGATGGTAGTTGGTCTCTACGACACATTGGCGGCAAGTTTTAGATGAAAAGCCAGTTTTATACCTAGCTAACAGGCAACTCATCTTTTTATGGCGAAGCGATTAATTTTCAAGAGAAAACTTTTTTGGTGGATGCCTTTTGAGCAGCTGCTGCTACCTAGTACGGGAATCGTTGGACTTTCTGACTTCTGATAAAATCAAGACGGAATGGCTTTGGTGGAAAGCAACATTGAAAATTAAAAACTCAGTTACAGTCTTTGGTTATATATTTTATGTTATGTTGTAAAATTTAAAAGAGTATATAATTTTGAGATTGGTAACAAGAAATTGGTAACGCTAGAATCAATTTGAAATCTCAAGTCTCAAAAATAGGGGAAAAATGTTTCCCAAGGTTTGGTGAAAATGGTGAACCAATTACTGATCCAGCTCGATTTAATAAGCTTTGTAGTAATGCAGGGGCAACAACAATTTTTGAAATGATAGTAGAAGCTATGTCAACTGCCAGACAAACAGCTGAAAGAAAAAAATTGATTGAAAAAAGAGCTGTTTCAATTATATACAGTCTTGTCTACGGTCAGTCGCAAAGGGCTAACTGGTTTCAAGTGGCAACTGCCAAGTTTCTAAGAGGCTTTGGGGTTACAAGTAAGGGCATGGAAACCCTCCATAATATGGGTTTGGCAGCACACCCACGCACAGTAATTAACATTAATGAAGGCATTGCTGCAAATCATAGCAAAATTGTGAATGATTTTTTTTAAAAATGCAGCAGAAAAGGGACATATGGTGGTAATTTTCATAGATGACTACCATAATATCCATGCTAATGGACGTGCCACTACTTCTGCAACATCACAAGTCACCCACATGGCAATACTTCTATTGAAGTCATTCTCAAGTGTTGAAGCAATTAGCCATGCAACCTTTCCAGTCAATGATATAAAGCCAGCAAACTTTGAGAACTTAAAAAGTGTTCTTGACAATAACATTGATTTTTTATCAAAGAGCTATGTCGGTGTAATGCCAGACTGGATGAAAGCAGAGTTTTTTTGACCCTCAATCAGAAAGGCATAGGTTGTTTATCCATGATTACCCAAAAATGACACAGCTAAGATCTATGGATAACTGCAAGCTAGTTGACTCAATAGAGATGCCACTAAAATCATATGACAATTTTTGCACTGCTTGGGCCATACTGCTTAAAAACGGTTTGTTATCATACCTTCAAAGATATGTTGTTCCTCTTGTTGGTAATTGCCCTGCTCAGTTCTTTGTTCGTCAAGTTGTGTATAACAAAGATGATGATACATTATCTCATTAATGGAGCAATATTGTTCCTTTCATAGGCCCATTGCATATTTCATTAAATTCAAGAGAAATTGTCTTCATAAAATTTAATGCTTTCTTTGCTGAGCTGTATTCAAAAAGCCTAAGCCATACATAATTTCATTCTTTTTGGAAGTGCTATATGGTGGTTGGACATTGGTTAGGGATGAGATCATTGCTGCCTTTCCAAATTGTAAAGATATTGAATATCTTACATTACCCAATCTCCTCGACACTTACATTTCTATGACACTCAGTATTTACTCATTGGTATTCAAAAGTAATATGGCAACTGAGTATTATCAATCTTTATTTCATTGCTGGGTAATGTTTCTTGTGTTCAGGAGAAGACATTATGGCAAGGCTCCCTTGATAGCTCTTTCCAACATTGAGTACTGGAAATTGGTTGGGCATCCAATCATCATTCCTATTTTTTCCTTTCTTCCAGCTTTTGATGAATACCCTGTTGAAAATTTCCACTCATTATTAAGGGCTAGGACCACAGAAACTGATAATGCTGACAAAATATCACACAAGGCAAAATAAACTGATGCACTGAAGCATAAGCTCCATGATTTTGGAACAACATTTGTGCCACCAAGGAGGCCAACACATAGTCAAAAGAGCATTGATAATTGAAAGGTTAAGGCAGCAGAATTTCTTTCAGAAAAGTTTGCCAAATTAAGCTCTAACATGGGACAAGCAACAAAAGTTACCAAAACAACAGAAGGACGAAAGACAAAAGAAACAAATGGAGGCTACCAAACTTATTTGGGCAGAAAAGTTGTAGGTGATGAGTTGCTTCCTACTGGCTACATGTGTGAAACAAATGCTCCAAATCCAAATCGGTATGGTGCTACAGTCTCTTTAGTTTAAGAATCTGATTTCGTTGAAATATTACATTGGTATATATAATTTATATTGCAGGTATACCTACTTCTAATATCAAAGCTATTTTATTCTGACATTTTGTAGTACCACATCTTGTTGCTTCTTATTTTTCTTAATTCTTGACCAATTTTTGTGTTTTATTGCCACATTAGAGTAACAAAACCACATCAAAGTAACATGATGCAATTTGTCTGGAAAACAAACAGTTATGACAATCTGGCAATGACAATTAGAAAAATGAAACAACAAAAACTATAAAACCTAACAAATTTTCCGAGCATGAATGAGAATAGGTCACAAAAAGAAATTTATATGGAAATGAGATAATACGATCTCGTTTTGGGAATTTCCCCAAACTTTATTATATGACTTTTTTAAGCTCAGATATGGTTTTATTGCCATAATTAAAGGCCAAATACATTTTTTCATATTGTTTGAGCTTATATCTTAGATTTTAGGGAAGTTTCAAAACTTGTAAGTGATTAGACTGCAAAAATCGTTTTGGGGGGAAAATTTACCCCCCCCCCCAGGTCCCAATCACGGTCAAATCCCTTATAAAATTTTATCTTTATGTAGTTATAAAATCAATCTCGTGAGCAATACCATAATGGAAACTTCCAAGAAGATTAAAATATAATGATAGTATAATGGCTTTTTCGTTCTTATCGGATACTGCGACCAATAATCAGTAGCTACAACGAACACTTGGAGGAACACGAGGAAATGAATATTGGGACTGTCAACGAAACTTATCAATGGCTACCACCAAAAGACTAGAGCGAAAGAGCATTGCTGTGCGGCTGTCCTGTTTATGGAGTGGAACCCTTAGCCTTTTTTCCTTTTTCTATTGAAAAGAGGTACTATTCGATGCCAAAAATAATAGGATGTCTTAATAAAAGGAGTGGGGTTGTGAAATTTAGGCCTATTCAACGTCTCATGTACGACGACTGATTGATTGTCTTAGAGCAAAAGCTTATCAAGAATGAGAGATCAAAGATGAATGCCAGGTAAGATAAATAAACATATTATAGTTTGGAGATTGATTACATGTTTAACATTCAAACGCAGAAACACAGTCGTATTTACCTAATCAGATAAATTGAAAAAAAATTAGGCAGCTGAATTAGTCGATATATATTTAATGCAGTGTTAAAAATGATTTCTTGTTATTTTTCAGAAAGAATAGTTATAGTTGATGGAAGGGCATCTTTATCTTTAATTTCATAGGTGGCACAAATGTTGCATTGGTCAGTGCATTTGCTGCAAAACCATCTTTTTATGCCATTTCTGATGATCTTGATTCTTTTCTTCCCTGTGTTGCATTTTTTGTGGTATCTTCCTCCACAAAGTGGACATTTTTCAACCTTCCAAACATCATCTGCATCAATTGGTAGACGACAAGTGCAATTGACAGTAAAGGATAGCAACTTTCCATGATGTGGCATTCTGCTGGTGGTCAGTTGTGGAAACTTGGTCATTTCATGCTTGCAAAGACATTTCATTAGATGATTTCGCATCTGACTTTTATCAAAATGAATTTGCCGTGGGTCATCTGCAAAGCAAAGAGTAACTGCATAGGCTATAGCAAAGAGCCCACAACTGTTACCATCTTCCTGATTCTGAACATCCTCTACCTTGATTAAGATTTCTTGTTTTAGTGAATGGATTAAACTGGCAATGACATTTTGAATTTGAAAGTCGAATCTTGAATTCTGAAGACTATCATAAACAGGGACAGATGATGTTTCACTCATACCAATAGTTGAAATTGTACTCCAGTGGTTGTTTCCTTTATTCAATACCTGTATATAGTTTCTTTTCCAGATCAGTCAGTGCTTTCTGATCGGCAATAGAGAGCTTACGATTTGACTACGGATCTGACTACGACGGCTAGGAGGTCTGGGACCCCCGTAGCGATTGCGTAGTCTGAATTTTTCGCTTACGATTGTCAAGACGGTGGTACTTTGGCGCCAAATTTAACTGTGAAGAAAATAATAAGCATGGCGAATATCGATAATCTAAATAACCTGCTCTTGGGATATTATGACGCGAATGTTATTGATGATGTAGATCTTCTGCTGCTCTATGATGTGAATAGGCGAAGAAATCCACATTTTCCGTACTGGAGGTATGATAAATTCGATTTGGATCTGATGAGCGCAGACCAGTGTAAAGCCGAGTTTCGGATGTGGAAGGATGATGTCTACACATTAGTAGATATTTTCGGATTTCCTGCCCAATTTAAATGTTACAACGGGGTTGTTGATTCAGTTGAAGCGACGTGTATTTGTTTGAGAAGGCTTGCATATCCATGCAGATATAGTGACCTGATCCATCGCTTTGCAAGGCCTGTTCCCCAATTATCGATGATAAGTAACCTGGTAATCGAGGAAATTTATCAAAAATATGGTCATCTACTAAGTAGTATGGATCAACCTTGGTTATCTAGGGAAAACCTTGCTGTATTTGCACATGCCGTTCATAGAAAAGGGGGAGCATTAGATAACTGTTGGGGTTTTGTAGATGGGACTGTAAGGCCTATATGCAGACCCAATACTTTGGGAAGTTTACAATGGGAAGTTTACAATGGCCACAAGAGAGTACACTCGTTGAAATTTCAGTCTGTTGTTGCCCCCAATGGTATGATTGCAAATTTATTTGGCCCTGTAGAGGGGAGAAGGCATGATGCTGCTATGCTTGTGATGTCTGGGCTATTGGGTGAGTTAGAAAGGCACTCATTTGCACCCCATGGCCAAGCACTTTGCATTTATGGTGACCCAGCCTACCCTCTACGAGAACATCTGCAGTGCCCATTTTTGCAAAGACAAGGTTTGACCCTAGAACAGCAAGCATTCAACCAGTCTATGAGTCAGGTTCGTGTTTCAGTTGAGTGGGTCTTTCGTGAAATTGTGTCTTACTTCAAGCTCTGCGATTTCAAAAAAGATCTGAAGATTGGTTTGAGCCCTGTAGGGAAGATGTATACTGTGTGTGCTCTTTTACGAAATGCTCTAATCTGCCTCTATGGATCAAATACGGCAACCTTCTTTGATTTACAGCCACCTGCCCTCCAGTTTTACTTAATGGAAACTAGCAATTTAGATGGAAACTAGTCTCAAGATCACCCTATAAAACAGCTTTTTTAAAAGCTACCAAATTTGCCAAGTTTCTCTCTACAGATAACACACACACTTATTTTCTTTTTATATTCTGGGTACTTTCAGAACTTGTGCTATGGTTGGTAGGTCATTGCTCGTGCTTCAAGCCAAGGCCACAATAAGGCAAATTCACATTGCTGTCAAGAAAGTGCAAAAAGCCAAATTTATGCCATACAGGTTTAAGAAAAATTAACAAATGCATTTTGCAGACATATAATAATTGTTTCTGCGTGTGTTTTTTTCCATCAATTGCACTTGGGCCAAAATGTTCTGAGTAGGGAATGTGTTTTCCCATGAAGCATGTGATTATAATCTCTCACACAACATACCATTTTTTAATATTTAATATGGTTGTCAACATTCAAGAGACTTCAACACCACATTACCAGAAAAAAAAAATGAGCCACAAGCCAAACCTTATTTTAAAATCAAACACAATTCTAAATATTCAAATATCTGAAAACCTGCCTTAAAAAATTACCAACCCTGGCCTGAGAAAGAAGTAAAAGCAATGTAAATTTTTCAATCAAAGCTTCAAAAAGTTTTGATATCAGTGGTACTAATCTAAAGACAATATATAATCAGAGTGCCTCAACTAGTGGCAAGTTATAGTTGTTTTCCATGCAGAAGCTAGACGAAAAAAGGAATGCACAAGTATGTATTTATTTTATACAATGAATAAAAGGAGAAGAAAATAATATTTAAAGTCTACTGCCTCTCAGCCAACTTTGCCAAAATGGAAATAATTGCAGTATTTTGTTGCTGCATCTGCTGCAAAATCTGTTTCTGTTGCTCCTGCTGTTTTTGCATCAGATAAATTATTTGATGTTGTTGGCTGATTATGGTTTCTTCATACTTTTCTCTCCTTTTCCTCTCCTCTTCCCTTTGCTCCCTCTCAAACTGTTCTCTCTTCTTCTCGTTATCTGCTTCCTCAATTCTAATCTCCATCTCTTTTTTTCTTAACGTTATTTCTTCTTTCTGAATCTCATACTCCTTCAATGCCTTCTCTCTTAAAAACTCCATAGTATTTTCACCTGACCGTTTCCTTTTATTCTCACTTTCATTTTTTTCTCGCACTTGTGTCTGACTGAGCCTCTCCATTGACCTTTTTCTCACATCCTCGGCTGTCTCCTTTTCTTTCTCTCTGTTGTTTTTCTTCTCTTCAGCTTTCCTGGCAAGTTCCTCCTCTGCTGCTTCTGTAAATCCAATAATATCTTCCAATGCCTGGTCAAGCTCATTCTCTTCTACTGCTATTCCACTGGCCCTTTCCTCTTGTGCCATTCTCCTTCTAAAATCCCTCTCTATTTTTTCAAACCTTTCTCTCACTGCCCTCTGGTCTACATAAAATTTTTGATTTTGGCAGTCATTCAACCTTTTTGCCACTTTGCTCCAGCATTGCCCCCTCTCTCTGCTGCCAAAAGGGAATTTGAAAGGTTGTGAAACCAGGATTTCTCTTAATAACAGAAGGTCATGTTCCTGGCTCCATACCATCTTAGGCCTGGGTATAAGAAGCAAAGTGACAACGCAATTACAAGTACCAAACAATTTCCAACATAATCTAAAATAAGGATTCCAAATGACTAGTATGCTTAAGTTAGCAGTTCTTTTGAAAAGATAACCAAATAGAGTTAAAAAAATAATAGGACAATGAAACTCTTTATTTTAATTTTTGGCTATTGTTGGAACATATAGGACTTAAAAAACATTTATTTTAGGTGTTCAACAACTGTTGAAATATTCATGGATAAAGACCTATACCAGGAAAAGGGTAATTTGGAAATACAATCAAAGGTTGATCAGAAAGTTCTCTAGCAGACATCAAGAAATAATTTCTGTCCCAATTAACATTATCTGACCTGTACATTTCATCCAACTCTTCATCGTACACTTCAAAAGAAAGTTCTATTTATCATTGCCACTTAATAGTGGGCCTATATTTCAGCTAACATATACTCACAAACAGCTAAAAACTAACCTGTGGTATTTCTAGGCAAAAGTCAATCACAGTTCAATTCATTTTCATTTTAAAATCCATGCATAACAAATCTCAGTAGGTATGGGCTTGTAGACTGCTTGTTCGAACAGGTATATTTAGATTTTCATAAGGACTACAAACTATAGGTGTCAAAAAAGTTATTTGGGGTTGTTATTTTGCAGGCAATAACCCTTTCAAAAACGAAACGAATCCATTCTCATAATATTTGGCAGAGGTCCGATACATAAATGCCACAGTACTATATTATAGTCTATAATTGTCCCTTTGATCACAGATACAAATTAGAAAGGAAAAGTCAAGTTGCAGAAATCGAGATTATTCTTTACAAACAGACATAGAGAAACACCGTTCATATGTTAGTGCGTAAGGCAAAATTCAGCCCAAAACTTCTAACGTAATTATCAATTTTAGTAAATTAATATTAATATCAGGCAACAGTCAAAAACTCTTTATACACACATCTGCAACTTCTTTGGACACGAGGCGTTGCTGGCAGACATTGTTGAATGAACACTAAAACTGAGAAAAAAATTATTCGAATTTTAAAAACGTGCCTAAAATATTGTGAAGAAAGTGAGAAAACTATATTACTGATAATAATTATAAATAACAGTTTGATTCAAGAAATAAATCAATTTCTTACCTGCGTAGTCGTGAGTACGTTGAATAGGCTGCAAGCGAGTAGTCAAAAACCTCACTACGGTTAGGTCACAGAGGAAGATTCCCTTTCGGACATGCGCAGATAACCTTTTTGTGGTCAATCAACCTTCGTAGTCGTGTGCGTAGTGAAATCGTAAGCTCTCTAATGTTGAATGTGAGACCCTTCAGTTGGTCAAGTTTGTCTGTGCAAGTGGCACCTAATGATCTTCTGGCATAAGTGGGTGGTAATGGCAAAGCATTCATTTCACAGATGGGCATTGGTGTGCTTGTATCAGTTTCTTCTTCCTTTATCTCATCTATTGTGGCAATATCCAAATTTGCATCGGCTGTTGGTGTTTCATCACTGTAGATGGCACACTGAGGATCCAAGGTGAAGTAGGGGGCATCTCGATATGCTGCTGGTAAGTCCTCCCAAGAATACTTTTGCATATGTAATATGATTGCAAACATGTGCTTACAAGGTAGAAAATTTTGCTTCCAGTCATGACATTGACAACATCACATACCATTTGCGTTTAACTGCACAATGTATCCAGCTTCATGTCTGATCCCTGACTTTTTACTCTTACAACCCCTTCTTTCTCTTCACAGATGCTGATGGATGAAATGCAGCTTGCCAGTGCAATCTTCTCCATGCAATGAGCGACAAATTTTCGTGGCCTGTCCTTCAAATAGTTAGGTATCCAAGAAGTATAGCTTCTGTAACCGCTGGAGTATTGAGCATTTAAAGATGAGTACCTAAGAATAGAGTGTTGTTGATTAGCAGCTACTAGATATAGTTTTTCCATGGTAAAGCCTGCTGTAGAAGAACCTGTTTTAAATCAAATAAAAATAATGACAATAATGACAGCATAGTTACTATTTTCTTTTTAAAGTAGGAATTATGTATTTTTTCTGTATCTTGTATAATACTAACCTTTTGTATCTTTCTGGAAAAAACTGGTCAATTAGAACCGTGGCCATTCTGCTTATGGTGTTCTTGCGCTTCTTTCAAAGGTATTCGTACTTAAAGCTTTTATTTTGCCTTTCAATCCCATTGTTTGTCTTGACAAGTATTTGGAAAGCATTTTGTCTGAATGCACAGACCCATCGCTAAGGAGAAAAAGAGTTTTTTAAATTACCGCTGAAAATCAAAGGTCAATGACACTAAGTCTCTAATATTTGAATCAACTAGCAACTCCGTAATAAGTTGATTTCAAATAGTTTGTCAAATAGAAAGAATGTCAAATAGTTTCATACCAGCTCCCTCTATTCAGCGTTTAGCTATTAAAGCTAGATGGTCAGTAAGAGCCAGTATATAATTCCTTGTTAACTGATTTCGTACAGTTTGCAGTTAAAATATTGTTGCTATATATATATATATATGTATATGTATATTAAAAGATGCAGCAAAGTTACTTTCTCAATGGAAATAGGTCTACTAATCGACTTTGCAAAGTACAATGCTAAAATGTGATAAATTAAATAAATAAATTAGGTAGACAGATATCAGTTATGGCTATAGGCCCCTCTGCAGTTTTTGTTCGTACAAATGTGTAGAATTAATGATATTATTAGCAAAGTTTGTATACCTTGTGGTGGGAATACCAATAATTATTGAACCAATTTCCAAACATGCTGTAATTTGCCCAAATTGTAGATTGGTACAGTGCATCAACAGCATTTTCGACCTTGGCCTCTGCGTGAGCAATTTTGCATAACCTGGCAAGAACTTCTTCTTTTACATGTGTGACTTTGTGGTCATGTTTATATTAACCCAGCGTGTCCACGCCTGTTCTCTGTGAAAGTCGCATAAGTAAACTCTACAGCTTTCAAAAACAGACTCGATGGCATTGATCTCTTTCTCGTCAAAATCAGTCATAAAATAATCTGCTTTCCAATTAGGATTCCAATTTGCTATGATGCTGATCCCTTCTTGAATTGATGCGGTTGTTTTGTGTTCACATTTGAATGCCCCGACTACCTGATAATCAATGTTTGTTTTCATGCACAGGGAGAAGAGTGGCAAAGCATACTTTGTTGTTTTGTATGTCGCATCAAGCAAGCATATGTTACCATATCGATCGATGAGGTGCGGATGTTGCTCCGACTCATACACAAGTAGTAAATTTGTTTCCTCTTCAGGATTACCAATTTCTGCTTTTGGGCGGTCTTAAAGTATTTGACCATCTTACCTTCAGTTTGTTTTTCTCCTTTTTAGCTTTACCCCATGCTGGCAGTCATGTATTCAATTGTTGACAATCATATAAGGGGTGCCGCTTGGACACCAATAAATTCTTGGTGAAGTACCATCCTTCCTTTCTAAGAAAAATTTGCAAAATATTAGCAAAATCAAGCCCTTACCAAAATGGGTGCTATTTAGTTCAGGAAAATCTGTTAAAAATTTTCACATGGATTGAAAAGTTTGAATTGGCTCATGCCTAAGATTTGGTACTTGTATAAGATCGGGTTTTAATAAACTGCAATGTCAGAAATCTCTCATCATTTGCTTCAAAATGTTGCTAACTTTGTACCCCGGGTACCAGACGCAGGGCCTCGCTAAAAATACCAATGAAAACGATAAAAAAAATGCTCAGAATCAGTATACAAATTAGAATAAGCCGTGTGAGGGGCCTTAGAAATGTTTCCAACATCTTTTAAGTGGAAAGACAGGCGCTTAATCAGCAGATAGGACAGCCAGCAAGACTAGGAGGGCATGCCCCTCGCTTTTCTGCATAACGAAATTTGATTTTTAAGCAAATGTAGAAAGTAATGTAGTCCAATATAATGTGCGAGTTATTATGCCAAATAATGGAGTTCCGTTTTTCCATGGCCAAAATCTGGCCAACAATGTAAATTGGTAAAAGGACAAACTCTCAAAAACGTTTCAGAGTGACAAAGTGATAGCACCAGCTGTTGAGTTTTGCCAGGAAGTGAGAGTTGAAGTTGCTAGGAAAAATATTTGAGAAGTTATTAGAAATGAAGAATTTGCAGATTTATTTTTTAAGTACCATCAAAATAGCTTAAAAGTCTTGAGTTAATCAATGATCCTGTCCTACTAAGACTAATTATACAGGAATTGCTAATTATAGAACTGTAAACCAATATATCATGTTAGATACAAAGCACACTATCCTTCTGTGTCAAATGACACTTCCAAGCAATCTAATTTGAAATTATAAAAATAATAATAAATCATATCGAATATCGTTTTGACCAACCAATTTGAAAGATCTCTTTTAAAAGGCTCTGCCTAGGATTCGGGGTCTGCTTCTCACAGAAAATGTTAAATTTTTGCCTGTGCATAAAGGTATTTGCCAACTAGTTTGAAGATTTGTTTTGCAGCACCACTTCATTGCAAAAAAAACTAAAAACGCCTCACAGGTAAGGTGTAACGCCACTTTAGCGGATGTATGGAATAAATAAGAACTCGCCTGAATCTGTATGCCCAAAACTGTTCTTGGTTGTTTTCCAAATGCTGAATTTACTGACCGTGGAGATTTCATATATGGATATCAGTTCATTCACTGCCTTAATGGTATTTACTATGCCTGATAGCTCGTTGGATGACTCTATGAAGAACTTCTCCCACGGTTGTTTAGATGAAGGACTATCATCCATGTCGGTAAGCTATTTTGAAACTTTTCAAACCTTGACTCTGTCTAACTTTCTCTTAACTAACCCAGGATTCGTGGAGAGCGACATATATGTGTTTAACTAGTTTCTTGCACAAATAAAAGATGTAAATGTGCTAATCTTAGGTGTCTACATTAGAGGAAAAACAAACTAGAAAAACAATAGAAATGTGTCTAGATATGTATGTAAAAGCTGAGTCAATCCATAGTGTAGTTCTTAAAATATTACTATAATTGAGAGTGGGTTTCCTTAGTGAAAGTGTTCCTACTAGCATATGTAATGCAACAAAGAGTGCGATGCAAGTTGACAAAAAAGAGTATGCACAAACAAGTATGACTGACGTTGGGAGAATGGATGAATGGGGCAGAGAAAATGCGCAGAGACAGATAAGAGCGAGGCTCAACGCTTCGAGCAGCAGTATTACATTTCAAAATGGGGATATCATGTTATTTCTATTCTAGCATAGGAACCCCGAACATAAACGAGCATAGGAACGCGAACATAATCATTTTCGTAACGAAAATGTTATGAAAACGTTGTGATGGAGCCTCGCAGCTCCTACTTTTGGTGGGTGGGATTTCGTCTCTACCTCTTCGAATAGGCCAGTTTGTGTATCCGCTACAGAAACTACATTCATTGCATTTTTTATACCCTGAAAAACAGAATATGAATTTGAGCCACTATCTTTATGGAATCCAGGGGCGTCACCAAAGGGGGTTTGGTAGGTGTGATACCCCCCTCCCTCCCAACATTTGTAGTAGGACGCTCCTCAGATCACATGACCTTTTATAACCCCCTGACAAGCACTATTTAATCTGCAGCTTTGTATAGAGTTATCTTCGTAACCTCGTTCTGTTATGTTATAAATCTTGATTGATTATCAAAATATGAAAAAGGAAAGAGTGTGTTTCCTTGCTCTACCATCTAAATAATGTAAATAGAAGCACCTCTCACATCTAGTGGATGAACCGTTTTGTCACCATCACCGTCCTGTATGTCGCGTGAACAAACTCTCGGACTTATCAATGGTTTGGTTGCTGTTGCCAAAGAACAAAATGCATCCAATAAGTCAAGACCTGACGAATCGAAATCACTTGCCTTTGCGGTAAAAGATTTATCCGACCTTATAAATCTTCAGTCGCAGGCTTCTCCTGGTCATGCTGCTCTTCGCCTGCCAAACCTTACACTGCCTGAATATACAGGAATTGAAGATTTTAACCGTTTTCTGGACCAGTTCAACCAGGTTCTCCGACCTTCTGGTGCAAATCCAAAATTTTATTCAACACACATCAAATAACAGTGCCGAAAGGATAGCAGTGCCTTCGACATTCTTTGCAATTATGACAGCAAGCATCTCTTCTGATTGCCGGCATCTCCGACCTCTGATAACTATTACAAGTTTTACAATGCTGAACTCATGGTTCTTCACTCCTAACAAGGAATTCCAAAAGACCAACAAATTCGAAATCTTTTGTGCCAAGTATTACACCATGTGCCAACAACACCACAAAAGCGTTTCCAATTTCGCACACTGGTTTTGTGAGACCCAACATTCTTTGGAGAAACTGATTCCAGGTATTCACATGACAGCCGATGGAAATGAAATTGAATTAATTCATGCATTTGCCCTCAAACTACGTGAAGATATTTTGCAGGATCTTTTCGCTAGAGATTTCAACTACCCGAATTTAATGGCCCTGATTGAAGCTGGCAAACACTATAAAACGAAAAGTACTTCACAGCCAATGTTTTACCTGTTAGCTTGTTTCTGATCACCCAAGAAAGGCACTAGCACATTGCCATTAAGTAAGAACAAAGCCTCCAGGTGACCTTTGCTTTCAATGTAATAAATATCTCGTGCCTTTTGTGAACTTCCTAATGGTAGATGTAAGAAAGGTTATATTCATAAGTGCACCAAATGTGGTCGCTTTAATTGTAAAGCTGTTAGTCATAATAGGACCAAGGCCAATTTGCATTATAATTCTGTTAAACCTAAATCACTACATACGAATATTGCTAAAAGTTGCAGAAACTTTAGAGGATATTACTTTCAGGAGGAGTCTTGTACTCAACAACAGTTGTTATTCACTCTACTAAAGAGTTTAAAAAATGTTTGGTTCTGCCCTGGATGAAATCTATAAAATTTGATAATTGTTCTATATGCACCCATGTATTTTGTAAAGCTTCAAATTGGAAGGGCTCGACTTTGGTGAAAGATAGAAAAGATTGTTTTTTTAATTGAAATGCCAACATTCTAAAATTCGTCACAATTAACACCAACAGTTTGTTATGAAAACTTTAATCACATGGAGAATTCGATAAAATGAATTGTTTTGTGTGAAGGGACAAAAAGTGGCAAGTTGTGTTTACTTTTGATTCTGTTGTTTTTAAACGCGAGCTCCACGTTTGAACCAAAATATATACATTTGAAAGAGGCCTCAACAAAAATATATATATTGTAGTTGACCTTGTCATGTTATGTATCCTATCTTTTGCCTTCAATAAACGTTAATCGAAGGATTATATTGAAAAATGAAGTAAACAAAAAGAAGTTGTGCCTTTGTTCTTCCCCGTTTAGACTGAGAGGTTGAATTTCCTTCATTTTTGGTTGAAGGCACCTATACTGTCCGAACAGCACCTCGTTGTAGAAACCTTTTTGTTTTTGAAACGTCCTACCTCTCTAATAGACTAGCTACGGTCCTTGTGTAGAAACCTGGTTTAAAATTATCTGAGCAGAGGACAGGGTTTGAAAAT